CTCTCAACTGCTTAAGCTTTATGCATAAGCTCAACGAAAATCCTCAAGGCATTGACTGCTAACTGTGTATGGATGTCTATATGAAGACCCTTCCTAAACTTCTAACCCCTCAAAGCCTCGGTAGCTACCAATTTTGGTATATACCTGCTCAAATGGAGAAAGTCCATCTTATACTCTATCACTGATCTATCACCTTGAGTCAGCTAAGTAAATTGCATCATAGTCTCCCACTAATCGATGAAATCACCCTTTAGCAGAGTAACGATGCACTCTATGTTCCCCTTGCTGGTGAGATAAAGTTGACAAATGGTATGTAGGGTTTCTCTCAACTATTGGTATATAGCTATGGGGTCATCCTCCTCAGAACCATAAAAATATATTGTCTTGTACCGATGAAGCCTCTTGATCGGTAACTCATACGAAGGTACAGTGGAATGAGCGTGTGGTGTGAATGGAGCTCTGGGAATGACACATGATATGTGCCTCAAAGCCTGGGTCAAATCCCAGAAGAAAGTTACCTCATCGACCTCTATATCAGTTAGAACTTCGAACTCTACCGAGTTAGACATAAACTCGTTGCCTAGATTGTTTTCTAATGACATGCGACTTTCGTCTCTTCACTCATTACTAGGAGAATCATTGTTGTCCATTGATCTAAAATTCGAAAGGAAAAGATATTAGCATCGTTATTCCATATTTTTAAGTACATTTGATACTTTTGAGGCATGTACTGACTGAAACTTATTGACTCTAAACCGTGAATCATAAGAAGACCTAAACTTTACGCTATGATACCATTAAATTTAATGCCCTAATCTAGTTTAACCTGAAGATCGATGGATTAAAAAGTCACACGTGACTGCCAAAGTGGCTAACCCAAAGACTTCTTTTTAAAATGATATTTAACATGATTAAATAAATCCATAAAATAAACATAAGTTTGGACATTCAAATAAGACGTTTATAAAATAGGAGCTCAATCGTTAAAATTCAAAATACATAAAAGTAAGAAATAGAGCTTACGACTCAAATACAAATAAGGTCTCTGTGAAGTACATACCAACTACTAAGTATCTAAGACATACTCTGATCAGAATAATCCAAGTTGGAATTCACGTTTGGCAATGACTAGTCGTTCCGTCTTTCTAAGAACATGCAGACAGAAACACATTCTAAATGCTGAGCTCACAAGCTCAGTACCACACAAATAACTCCAACATGTTATATGCATTCATCACATGACTATGCGAACAAGTATAAGCATGAAATTGCAATCAATCCAACACACAATAAAACTAGGCATCATGGTGTATTCGAAAAGTCATATAGCATCTTGGGACTCACATAAGGTGCCCTAGATAAGACTCGGGTCACACATCATCAAAATCTTCATCTAGAATGGCCCTCAGTGCCCAGTACCTATGACGCCTTTGGGTCACATAGCATCAAATCCTATGTCTTACTAGTCTACTCCTTAGAGTACTTGGAAAACCTCCGGGGTCACTTAACATCGAAGCCTACGTCCAACTAGCATTTAAAGTGCATAAACACTAACTTAACATATTTAGATGACCAACCACACAAGACGATCGTCATACATCTAAGGATGTTTTGATGTCCTAATTATTTCTCGAACGTTAAACAAATGCTAGTGTTATATCATTCTCAAAATATCAAAGGTTATTAATGGTTCTTCTTTTAGTCTTATTAAAGAAGTCCCAACAACCCTTAACTCTCTTCCTAAACCCTTTGACATATAACTGTGTTTCTTATTCAAACAATGGCGATGGTACTGATATTAGTCATTCATTATCTATATTAACCTTAGGGTATCAATACTACCACGAGTATCGATACCAAAAATGGCTTCGATGTTCTAAAAAATTATTCAGTATCAGTACTCTGACCTAGAGTATCAATACTTTGATAGGAGGGTATCGATACTACTTCTAGTACCGATACCAAAAATGGGTTCGATGTTTTGGAAAATATCCCCAGTATCGATACTTTTACTATCGATACTTTTACTAGGAGTATCAATACTCTACCTATATTGTCGATACTTCCATAAGCACCGATACCAAAAATGGCTACTGAAATCTTAATGACTATATCAGTATCGATAATAAACCAATAATATCGATACTTGTGGGGTAGTATCGATACTACATGTACGAATATTGATATTATCAACTTAAAACACCTTTGTTTTATTCTACATAAAGAATAGTATCGATATTATTTATCCAGTACTGATACTTGAGCCTAGAAACCCCCTGTTTCTCACGAAAATATAACCCCCAACACAACCATTTACCCTTATAAGGTTATTAAACATTATGTAAAGCTTATAAGAGTTGTATGGGATCATAATATGTCATTTAACATACTTCATATATTTTAAAAATGTTTAAAGTCACGATTACACGAAATTTGCACAACATGCTTAATGAACCCATACAACCAAGCAAACTCAAGAAATGACTTACATATATAAGAGAGTTATATGTGCACTTTAATACCTTGAGTTTACCCAAGAATAAGCTTCTTATTACCTTTTCCCTTAAAGCTTTACCCCACTTCTTTCACTAACCACAAATAATGAAATGAGTTACTAACTCATCTAAAGGCTTAAGAAGATTAGAAACATGACTCCTAATCTCTAAAAATGGATTGGGAATACTAAAGAACCCTAACACCCAAAACCCATCTTAAATCTCCACTTATGGTTTTTCAAGGACAAAACCCAAAATAAGGAATTTGAAAAGAAGCTTGAGAGGTAAGGAATTCAATCTTACCTTCATAAATCTGTGTTATGAAATGAAGCTAACAAGTTTTGACCTTTGCAGAAGGAGGATAATGATTGTTTTTTTTAAAGAGAAGAATAAGACAAAGTTGATGAGGAAAATGAGATATGAGAAAATGCACAACTTTCCCCCCTTTCTTTGCCTGATTACATCACCAAAATTGAATGGAAATCAGCCTTTGAGACAAATGAGTGGTTATTTACTCTATAAGTCTTCTTCTTTCTCAGCCCAATTCAAAAACACCCTTTTTGAGCCTTAACAGGCTTAGGCCCAAACTAGAACAAGTCAAATCTTAACTTAACACTTTTAAATGGTTTCTTGGCCTATATAAAACTCATTCGGGTTTACCCAAAACTACTAACCCAAAAAACAGGCATTACACCAATCTTCTCCAACAGTCGTCTAATAAGGCTAATTTTAGGATATATTGTTCATCTTTTCAAATAAATGCTTATTATTATTTGGAATTTTGAATAAATACCTCAAACTCCTCAAATTTGAAAAAGTCCTCAAACCCCAAAAAAAAATTGTGTTTAATTGTGAGTTTTAAATAATTTTGAGAAGATTTTAAAATGATAAAATGGTATAGTAATAAGGGACGAGTTCACCTATATCTAGATTAGTCTCAAAAGACGTTGAAGAATATTGATTTCCAACGACAAATGACAATGAGTAAAAAGACTAATTTTTATAAAGAAAATGATTAGATGAAATCATAAGTTATTTTTAAACTTTTATATCCATACACATTAACATCAAAATAATCATGTCATCACATTGTTCCGAATTTAACAGCCCAATATTTCAATTGAACCCAAAACTAAAGTTCAATACTTACTTTGAAGCATGAACTAAGTGGCCTCTGTTGTAAAAAAAATGTTATTATTCCTTGAAGATCTGAGTTCGAGCACCATAAATATAAGAGATATGAGACTTGTGCTTACCCCAGTTAATAAAAAATAATAATTACTTTGAGCATTTTACGGTTCAATATTAAATTCGATATAAAGCCTTAAGTATAGTGGTTGATAGTGTGGTTTACCCTTTTAATTATTTTGTAAATACATCAAAGACATTCATGCAGCAATCTTTCAAATTGCATTTGTGGAATAAAAAAATTAGTGGCGACAAAAGAGATTCAACCACTGAGGAAAAAATAGACTTGTTTGTGGAAAGATTGCTTAACAGCATTCTGCCTATCACAATTCTTAATACAAGGATATGATGGTGATGTTCATTGAGTGGTTGAGTACTCTATAATTTTTACACCCAAAATTTCACAGTTTGGGTGCAGTCTTTTAGTGGCTAATTTAGGTAGTTTTGGGACCATTAAATTCTTTCCGTGTTTCATTTAAGCCTCAAATCTCTATCAAAATCAAATTAGAATTTTTTTTAAAGTCATAACTTAACGGGTAGTTCTGTCCTACAACAACCTAAGTAAGGTTAAGGAACGACAGAAAACGGAAACAATCTAATGTTAACTTTTTAATATTTTCGGTTGAACCGAAAATATTACCCTGTCAACCGAAAATGTTATAAAGAAGGTTTTCAACCGAAAAATGTTAAGAAAAGTTTAACATTTTAGATTGTGCCCAATAAAAAAATATTATGATTTTTATAACATTTTCGGTCGCATATTCCATCAACTTTGAATTAGATTGTCTTTCTTTAGACCACCTCTAACTTAATTGTTTTCTTTAATCAAAACTAGTCATGACTACCTCAAGAACACACTCGACTCCAAGTTTAATGAACATGATTCTTAAATAAGATTAGAGACCGACATATAATTTTATAATAATATAAATTTAAAAATATGTTTAAGATATATAAAATGTGAAATTAAAAAGTTTCAAAAAAATATAATTTTACATCAATAATAAAGAAATATATCTAAATTATATAAAACTCTGAAAGTTGTTAAAAGAAATATTAGAACCCAACCCTACCACGCCATCCCTGCATATAATATATGTTTCCATAAGTGGTAAACTTTTAATTTGCTTAATTTGGGCACCTGTCAATTTAATTTCCATGGTATATAACATGTACATGCATATACCACTATGATCCTGCCACGTAATCCAATACCATGCAAGGAAAATGAATGCAGATGATCGTAGCCTACTCGACGAGTTTCATTATATAAACCCCACTTCATCCCCACACAAGAACTCATCAGTTGTGCTTCTTTTTGTGGTTTTTGCTACAAGTTTCCCTGCAATTCTCTCCAAAGTATAAATCTTTGTTTGTTTTACTGGGTTTTTATTTTTCTAGGGAGTTTTGCATCAAGAACTGGCTAACACAAAGGATACAATTCTGGAGGAAGACAACAAGAACCAAGACGTGGTTCTTGCCCTCTACCATGCCTTAAACACTCGAGACGTCGAAGCCGTTCACCGAATCCTTGCCCCCGACATCGAGTGGTGGTTCCATGGCCCCCCGACGTACCAGTTTATGATGCGCCTCCTCACCGGAGCTTCATCGGACGACACTTTCCGTTTCGAGGTCGATCCTCCCTCACTCACCACCTTCGGCTCCACCGTCGTTTTGGAAGGGTGCGATCATAAGCGTTGCATATCTTGGGTGCATGCCTGGACCGTCACCGATGGGATAATAACACAGGTGAGGGAGTACTTCAACACTTCTCTCACGGTCACTCGCATTGGAAACTCTAGCCAATACCCACCGCCCATCTACGATTCATCGTCACCTCCTGGTTCTTCATCCACGGATGAGATCACCCCTGAGCACTGCACTTCGGTGTGGGAGAGCAGGTTTTCCAACAGGGTTGGGAAGTCTGTGCCGGGTCTTGTTTTGGCAATTTAGTCATTTGCATGATCAGCCGATTTCGATACGTTTGAATAAAGGAAAGGGGGTTTCGTGTCATTTCCTGATTGGTGTTGTACGATTTGTGTTTGTTTCCCACAGTGTTTTTTTAGTTGTCTGTTTGGAGATTTGTGGACCAAGTTGTTGTCGTGATGAAAAGAGTTCTCATTGCAAATAAATTCTGTTGCTTTCATTTCCTTGAACTAATTTTCTAAATCTATAACTATTTGATTAATTTGATGAAAGATATTTCGAACTACTTCAATTTTTGTTTCATAAGATAAATTAAAACTATATATAAATTTTAAGATACGAAAAAAATATATAAACTTTCATTAAACATAGAATTACATATAGAAATTTTGATTTAGTTTATATAAAATTTATAATTTTATTTATTTTTAAATTAAAATTTCTATCAACAACCAGTTGATCTATTGGGGTGAGGTACTAGGTCCCTTAAGCAAGGTCAGGGATTCGAATCCTAGCGTTTGGATTAATCAGTTAATAGATCGGATACCGCTGATTAATTTAAAAAAACTTAAAATTTCTAATTTTATTGTTCAAGTACATTTGATTGACTAATCAAACTGTCCATATTTAGTTCTTTATATTTCTTTTTAAATTTATTAATAGCACACATCCCCTTTCTTAAAGTTTTTCTTTCTTTCACTCTAAATAATTAGAATTTATAAAGAATAATTCCAATTTTATTCATTAACGTAATAGCATGAAAAATTATTAGATGGATCCGACTCATCACATCATCTGTGGTTTCAACTAATAACATTTTCTCATCTTTTTTTTTAAGGTTAATCTTTATTCATTTCCTAGGTGTAAATAAAGAGTGGACAATTATTTAAAAATTATTTTAAAATTGATGGATCTATTTCATTAGGACTATGAATTACATAGTGAGCCGGGATCACAAAATAATTTCTCAGCCGGCACCATCATCTATGTGAGATTGATTTTCGCTAAATTATGTAAAAACAAATGCCGAGATAACGTTAAAATAAATTTATTATATAATTATATTTCCACAGATAAAAACAAAAGAGTAGAGAAACATGCTTGAGAAATAATTTTTTCAAACAGAACAAAAAGGTGCATTCCCTTCACTCACCCTGCCAAGTTAGTAAAGAAATAGACTCTTCACATGGACAAGGTCACAGATGAATCGAGTTCATAAAAATTTTAATTTTTATATATTTAAAAGAATATTTTTCATTGATAATTTATTTTTACTTTTAAAATTTTAAATTTATTTTCTCTTAAAATTTTATAAATTCAAACCCTAATATAAGTTCTTATATTTGTCCCAAAACAAGATGGAAAATAAATTACTTTAAAGCAAGGTTTACCATTAAAATAAAGAAAGCTTGGTTTTTACTCTAAAGAAATGAAAATCTGGAACATAATTTTTTTTAAATTCATGTGCAAAAGTAGCCACTGTTTGTAAACTAAAAAACTAATCTAAAGGAAATTACTTGTAATCAATTTGTTTGAGCATGGCTGGAACTATCTGCTTGGTGGGAATACTTTTGTGTAGCCACTGTTTGTAACCGACTAGAATTCCAATTGAACTTCAAAAAATATGAACTTGTAGAGTGAGAATCATATAATATGACTATGTTTACGTTAAGCGAAATCGATGAATAATCTTGCTTTGATGGCTAAAAACGGATGGGAGATCCATAATAGACAAGATATGTTGCGGTATAGAATCTTCAAGGAAAAATACTTGAAACATATAAGCTTCACGGAGGCTGGACCACAGGCGAACACCTCCTCGACGTGGAGAGGGATCCTGGCCACACGTAAAATTTTCGTGAAAGGGAGTAAATGACAGATAAGATCGGGTGGACAAACCAGGTTTTGGCATGACTGATGTTAATAAAATCTTATCCGGTAAAGGGGACGAGATGGTGAAAAATTTTATTTTGAAAGAAAAATCGTGAGATCTTCAGGAAATCCGAAACAACATCTCGATAGAAACCTGGAACCAGATTAGAGGAGTCCCGATTCCACCAGGATAGGGAGTTCAAATCAAACAAATTTGGGATGAATTGTCAACACATCATCAAGTCAAACATTAATTTTGATGCTAGGGAGTTCAAAGAGTGGATGAAAGGGAACTGCCGATATGAAAGGAAGCTGGGAAATGTTATGGAATGAGAATTCTCTTTCCGACGATGATCTGGGGTCTGTGAGAAAACAGGAATGAAAGGTCTTCACAAGTAAGGGCGAAAACCCGAGTCAAGTGGCTCTTTATGGGCATAAGTTGGCAATTAGGGACATAAGAATGTCATTAACGACAACGCATACAGGAACATAAGAAAAGATCTATTTTGGGTCAAGTGGAGAAGGCCACCAGAAAGGATCCTAAACACGGAAGGAGCGTACGAAGCAAGCACCGGGTTGGCAACTGCGGGAGGGTTGATACGTGATAAGAACGGAGCCTGGGTTGGGGGTTTCATGCTGCGTATCGGCAGCTGAGTTGTGAGGATTAAGAATGGGGCTTATACTTGCAAAAACCCTAGGGGTGACAACGCTTATCGTTGACATGGACGCGAAGAGGATCAACCTGGTAACGTTCTGGTAGAAGACTGTAGGAGTCTAGTTAGGGAACGATGGATTTTCGAGGTCAGACACACATGACGAGAACGAATCATATGTGCATACCAATTAGTAAACAAGGCAATGGTACAGTCTAGGGTGATTAATGAGTTGGGTAACTCGTGAGCAGTTCGAATATGACTTGGTGAAAATTCGATAAAAGCTCGACCCAGATTGACTCGAGCTCGAGACCTTAACGAGCTGAGTCGAGCAAAGTCCAACTCAACTCGATAAATTCGCAAGTAACTCTTTAATTTTTTATAACTTTTTAATAGTTATCTTAAAAAATTATTTCATTCAAAAAATTACTAATTTACTAATAAATAATAAAAAATATACATTACTAATCTATTAACTTCTAATAAATAAGTAAAAATATTAAATTATTAATTAATAATTATTACTTTACTAAATCAAAAAATAAACCCTAATTATTATTTTAATATATTTATGAATTATTATTTTGGTGTTTAGATTTTGAATTTATTTCATACACTCTTTTGATAATTTTTGATTAAATTTATTAATTTATGTTTATATTAAATTATATACATTATTAATATATTTTACTTATAGTTAAAACTAAAATAAAATTTTTGTGAGTTTAACGAGTAACGAGTCGAGTAACAAATTTTCTTAATGAGCATAAGTCGAACAAAATTTTAACGAGCTTAACGAGCAACAAGTCTAGCCGAGTAACAACTTTTTTTAACGAGCACGAGTTGAGCACGAGTTGAGCACTGTCCAACTCGCGATTGAATCGCTCGATAAACACCCTTAATCCAGTCGAATAACATTGAAATCCTCAGATAACCTGAGTAATTTGATAAACTTATTGGAGAGAGACGTCAGAGGAGAGGGTTTGGTAAGAATGTAATAGTTGTATGATCTCGTTATATACTACAAAATAATCATATAATTTATAAAACATTGAAAAGAATTATTTCAATGTAATAATATAATAAATAATAAAATATATTTACATCAGTTCAAAATTTTATTTTAATTACATTCTTCATTCGAATAAAATTATTCATTATTTTTTTTAAATGTATATAATAGAACAAAAGAAATACGTAATTTTAGAGTTCCACTCAACCACTGTATCTTTGAACACATGCCTACCTCATGATTCCACACAGATCGGATGAAGTTAAATTGGGGCGTTCTTGCCATGCCGCCAAATACTGAAACGGGCGAGTGAGGCTACCATGCTCCTCCTCCTCCCATTTTAAAAGGATAGGTCTATGATCCGATCCCAACCTATCTAAGTGTAACACTCGAGCATCAGCAAAATTGGTACACCTTTCATTATTAGCCAACCAACGATATAATCTTTGGTGTAGATTACCCCTAGTCCAAGTGAAAGCCGGACCAGAGAAACCTAAATCCACCAAACCGGAAGAATAAATTAAATTGGCGAGAGAACAACTATCATTAACTCGAACATGAGCACCTCCCATCATGGTTTTCAGAACCGGATCAGTTAGCGAACCGGCCATGCTATCGGTTCACTGGTTCAACCGATCGAATCGGTCCGGCCGATCGAAAGAACCGGACGACGTCATAATTATTTAAAAAATAAAATAAAAATACCAAAAATATTTAATAAAAAAATATTTTTTATATCACAATTCATATTCAAAGCAAGTCATAACATATATAAGTTAAAAACCATAAAATCAAGTGAAACAAAATGATTCAAATTAACTACAACATAATATTTAAGGTAAAACATATTAAATAATAAATATAATTATATAACTATAATTAAAAAATAAATTTGGGGCTAAAAAAATCATAACAAAATGATATTGTTTGGTTTAATTTTTTTTTAAAAAAACAATCCCGCATTGCTAAGAAACATAGAAGATCATCTCAACTAACTTCTATAAATAATAGAGGTAATTTGGCATTCAAAATCATAGAGCCTTTCGGTAAGCATTGAGTGAACTATTCTTTCACTTCAATCAATCTCGAATTTTAGGCTTCAATCGAGCTTCTAAATTTTTTTTGAGTTCAAACCTTTTCGAGTTCAAGTTTCAATATTATATTTCGAGTTTGAGTTAAACTTCATAATTTTTAACTCGTGAGTTTGAATCGAGTTGAGCTTACTTTTAAATTTTTCAAGTTCGAGTCGAGCTCAGCAATACTCGAGTTTGACTTGGTTCGTTTAACAAACGACGTCGTTTGGTTTAATTTAAAAAAAAAAATGGCGGTTTTTTCCGATTTTTAGCTGGTCCGGTTTGAACGGTTCAACGGTTATGGCTGGTTCACTAGTAGCGGTTCAACCGATCTAGATTGAACCGGATTAGGCAACGATTCCCGGTTGAACCGACCGATCCGATCCGGTTTTCAAAACAATGCCTCCCATACGCTCAGTCGAATTCAAAATCACATTCAGGTCACCTCTAGGAATACGTAATTTTTTCTCTGAATAGTCTGTTGAAATTATTTTAAGGTGACATGTGTTCAAACAAATTTCTAGTCATTCACAATTCATACAAACCCAAATGTAATCGCTTAAACTCAATTTTTTTAAAAAGAATAACACTTTATTTTATGATTGAGACT